TCGTGGGACATTCACGCAATGGAATACTACGCAGCATGTTGCTAGGAGAAGTCATGGGACATTCATGCAATGGAATACTATGCAGCACGCAGGAACAATAATTTCATAAATTACTACCTAACTTGGGAGGGACTGGAGAGCATTATGCTGAGTGAACTAACTCAGGCCCACAAAGACAAATACTGTATAAAACCATTATTGTAGAATGAGTATGGGGGGGGGAGAGTGGGAATTAGAGGGGTGAGGCTGGAGGGGTAGGGTGTTAATTATAGGGTTGCACAATTTGATAGGTGGGTCGACTAAGGAAATGGGAAGGATCTTTTGTGAAAAACAATGTATTCAAACTTTTTAAATAAATCAGAGTAATAAAAAAAAGATTAAATATCCAGAATATTATATACATATGAAAACTTAATATTCATTAGGTCTTTGCCTGACCATCCACTGGGGACCCTGTTCTGGTACTACTTGTTCTCTGCCCAATAAACAATGATAAAACCAGAAAAAAAAGGGGGGGGACATCATGCTCAGAAAAGTAGAGAGGCAGGAACGGAGAGGAAGACCTTGAATGATATGGATTAACACAGTCACCTTAACAACGGGCTCAAGTGTGGCAGGGATAATGAGGAGATGGCACAGGACACGGCCGGATTCACATCTGTCATTCACAGGGTCACTACAAGTGATATTCAACTTGATGGCACCTAACAACAATCACCGTATACTACTGTTAGTGCCACTTCTTCTTCTTCTTCTTTTTTTTTAATCCATAACTTACTTTTATTTTATTCTTTTTTAAAATTAATGAAAATTTACAGACACTTTGGATTTCCATTCATTCACTGTTGCATTTTTCTCCCTGCCCCCCTCACACCTCCAGTATACTCTTCTCTTTGAAAAGTAAAAGAAAAATTCTTTCATTGTTTTACAATCCCTCCCCCCAGGTCAACTCCACTATGCAGCCTTCATTCTGGACTCCTGTCATGATTATAATACCTAATCACATAGCCCTTTTAAACAGTTTTCTCCCTCATCTATTTCAATGCAGTATACATTATTTATCCCATCTTTAGTGCCATCTTCTAACCCTTCACTATAAATTCAATATAAATTACATCTTAACAGCAAGAAGACACCCCTCTCCTCTGGACCAATAGGCAATGTCACGATAGAGGGAGAAAAGACTCAGGTTGTCAATGATTTCATCTAATCCAAAATCCTTGGTACCAGCAGTCAAGAAATCAAAAGACATGTTGCTGTGGGAAAAATCTGCTGTCAAACTCCTTGCAAGGTGCTATGGAACAATGATGTTATTTAAAGACAAAGGTGTGCCTAATGGAAGCAACAGTCTTTACAATTTCTTGCTATGCATTTGAAAATTGGACAATGACTAAAGATGACAGAAGAACTGATGCCTTTGAGTTGTGGTGTTGGAGAAGAGTACTGAACATCCCACAGACTGCCAAAAGAACAAACAAATTGGTCTTGGAAGAGGTACCACCAGGGTGGTCCTAAGAGGCAAGGATGGTGAATCTGTCTCAAATATTTTGGGCATATTGTTAGGAGGGCACAGTCCTTGGAAAGGGGAGGGTCAGTGAAAGAGAGGAAGACCCTCAACAAGATGGACTGACACACTGACTATAAAAATGGGCTCAAGAATATCAGAGATGATAAGGATGGCACAGGTCACCATGAGTAGAAGATATTTTAATATTTTATTTCTGTAAGACATCAGATTTATTTTGTCAAACATTACATGAGCATTTTGGTATTATTTATGTACTGAGTATTTAGAATTAAAAGCATATTTATATTTATGTACCTTTAACCCTGCTGTGTGATATCTCCCATCCTACAGATAAAAATCTGAAGGTTTAGAAAGTTTTAGGAGCTTTTCTAATGACACATAACTTGCTAACAGGTGTTGGTGTTAGAATTTGAACTCATATCTATGAAAAGTTTTATTACTTTTCCTATAAGTTTTAGGTTACACTCTCAACCCAAACGCTGTTGGTTCAAATCAAATTGCTGCTTCTGTGTGAGTTAGTCTCTAAAAACCTGCTGGAGGGCCAGTTGTAAATCGGTTCACGGCAATGAGATGTCATTCTGTTGTTGCTCTGAGGTAATGGCACAGAAAGTCTTGGAACTATAACCTCCTTTTCCTTCTTTTGTTGACTGTATCATTAATTCATCTGCTCATTCCTTCACTCAAAAAATATTTATTGAACACAACTCTCAGGATAAAGTTAGTTTTCAAAGAGTAAACCATTTGAAGAATATCATGTAAATGGAGAGATGGCTATCTTCATAACAATAATGCGAAAGTGGTTGCAGAGAGGTGTTTCTTAGTGTCGCTGTAAGAGAGCTCTGGTGGCCTAGTGGCAAGACTCTGCACTGTAATCCTGAAGGCATGTGGTTCGAGGCCACCATATGCTCTGCAGGAGAAGCATGGGCAGTCTCCTCCCATGCGATTAACTGCCTCGGAAAATCAACTGGAGGGTCAGCTATGTGTCGGTTCCAACAACAACAACATCATCATCATCATCACAGTGCTTAAACATAATAACAGTGCTGCTGTAACAAGTGGGAAACTTTAATTAATAGTAGTTTATTTTCCCAGAGATCAGTATATCAGAAGTCTGAATTCAGACTATAGGGGAAGACTGTGCCCTTGGGGAGGGGGAAAAAATCTTTTCTTTTGGCTTCTCAATAATATTTGTGGAGATCTACCTTTCAATGGGGGTATCTATATTTCCCCCATTTGCACTTGCCTATCTCTATGCCTAACCTACTCTTTTTATATTTCAACAGTGATTAGGTTTAAGACATATTCTTACAAGAAGCTCATTAATCTAACATTAAATCTGCAGGTAGAAAACCCAAAACAAAACAAAACAAAACAAAACCAAACTCTACTGCCCTCAAGTTCATTCCAACTCATAGCAACCTTCCACTGGGGTTTGTAGGCTATAAAGAGACTGCTCATCTTTCTCTTGTGGAACAGCTGGTAGATTTGCATTAATGACCTTGAGGTTAGCAACCTAATGCATTACATTATCACCCTCTCATCTCTTTACCGACGAGTCAGAATCAACTCATAGTTGACCCTCCAGCAGGGTTTCAGAGGTTGTAAATCACAAGGGAGGAGGCTGTCCCTCTTTATTCTGAGGAGCCACAAGTGGATTCAGACTTGCTGTCTTCACATTAGCACTGCAATTCCCTATGGGCTACACCACCAGACCTTCCTACATTATGCTGCTATTAAGGCGCTCTAGTGGCCGAACGGTAAGAATCTGCACCACAATCCCATAAGCACGTGGTCCACATCCACCATCTGCTTCATGGGAGAAGATGGACAATCTCCTGTGTGGTTACTGCTTCTGAAGACACACTGGAGGTTGGGCTATGTATGGGTTGGTTCTGACTCGATGGTACACAACAACAACAACAACATGCTACCAGGGCTCCTTAAAACCGCAGGAATGGGGTAAGTATTTATGACATGGTTTTTTGTTTTTTTTTTTTGTAGTCACAATTCAATCCATAATAGAGAGTTAGAGTGAGGAAGTCCATATTCACATAGGCCAGTAAGTCTAACTCACCAGAGTCTGAAGAGACTACTGGGAGGTAAACAGAAAAGGCAGACTGAGAGGTCCCTGGGATGTGCCAATTACTTGCACTCTGCTGGGTACCAACAAGGTTGGCAGCTCAACCTAACCAGTGAGTGGTACTACTGAAGATGCAGGGGTCAGGTGACACGCTTCTGTAAAGACAACAGCCAAGAAAAACCCATGGAGCAGTTTACTGTGTAACACATGGGGTCTCTCCAAAGTCACACACCAATGGTAAAACCAAAAACACCAATAAAAAGCAAGCTGAGAGCAGAATCATAAAATGCTCTGCTGGCAGAGAGAGGAGGTACTGGAGGCTTCCTCACAGGATTTTAGAAACAAGTATCTGCAGAGTCTAGGATAGAATGGAGAGGGGAGAGCTGAGACTGAGATGTGACAGCATTCCTGGGCCCACCTGGAACCGGAAAAGCCTCAGAAGGCAGCCATGATAGCTCCTGTCCGCATGGAAATTCCCCTGCAGTGTCTTAGAAAGAAAGGAGTTCTATGTAATATACACAGAAATGGATGAGAGCAGCGCAGGAGGAACAGAAAGCAAGCAGGAACTTGGGCAAGTTAGAAAGACCTGGACACTGTCCAGATCAGAGAGTCGGGGGAAATGGGGCAAGGAATGCCCATCACAGCACCAGCAATTTTAACATGGAAGACTGACTTTTCATCATGTTTTTGTTTTCTCCTCATTAGTTTTCTAAATCCAGAAAAAAAATGAGATGAGTATTATATAATGGTTACCTTGTAATTCAGAAACAAAGAACATGGATTGATGCTATTCAAACCGGTTCCTAATTAGAAATCCTTAATGATCAAAAGGCAGCTTAAAAGCAAGTCAAACTACTTAATGCATCTGTGAGACACCAGGGCTGCCAGTCTGTGTTTTATGCCCTATTTACTGGCCATTTCCACGCACTCCCTTTCGCCCATGTATAATGCAGCTGCCCCGAACAAAGCCCTGGCCCTGAGGAAAGACACACCACGGCCCGGGCCCACAGGAAAGGCTGGCATCAACAGTGACTTCCTTTAAACTGTCTAGAGGATTTCTGCTCATTCAAGCGGAGGCTTAAGACATTATTTCAAGAAAATAAGACCTGAAAAGTATTGCCAATCTTTCAATTTTGATTGCTTGCTTCTCAACTCCAGCACAAAAATACACAGCTAGCCCTTTATGAGTTGGATTATTTCTCCTGAGTTGTAGATAACGTTTAAAGAAATTGTCTTTTATGTTCACTAACTAGAGAAGGTGAACAGTTGAGATTCCATGGTTTCTCCATGGTGCTCTGGACCCGATTCTGGGCCTCCTGGAGGTGGCCACGGCCCTCTGTCGGCTCTGTGCCTCTGTGGTCCCTGGGGAAGGCAGACCTGCCAGGCCCTTACCTTCTTCAGCAACGACAGTCAACGTGACGGTGACACCAGCATCTTTGATCAGCTGAACAATGTTATCATGGGACAGTTCAATGATGGACTGTCCATTGACAGCTGAAATATGATCTCCAACCTTCAGTTTTCCACAGCGATCAGCAGGACTTCCCTCTATGACTCGGCCAATTTTATGAGGGATAACTATGGGGGGAAAAGATACAGGTTTTCAATTATTTAAGATGTCTGCTAGTGTTAAAGTTACTATCATTAAAAAATTTAACATCGTTGCATCAAAGACATTTCTCCAAAAATACAACAGATTTTTGCCCTATAATCATCCTCCTGTGGGGATGTAACTCTTTTTTTTAGTACCCTCCATTTTTTTGCCCCTGCCCCCATAATTTACATAGCTGGAATCAGAGCATATAAATGTCTCTGCTGTTTTTCATTTATCTGAAGTCTTTCCCCAGTATTTATGGAATCATCTTACTGATCCTGCTTATGGGCTACTGAGAACACAGGGACAGACAGTGCCTCACTGATGATCTTGGATGTCATAGTTTGTTGTTGGTCATGTGGGTGACATAAAGTTTATAGAATTTCCTTCATCTGCCTACTGGATGTTTGAAGGGGCAGGGCTAGAGAAAGAGAGGAAGATGCCCAACAAGATGGACTGACATGACTTTAACAATAGGCCAGAGCATGTCTGAGATTGTGAAGATGGCACAAGACAGGGCAAGGTTCAGATCAGCTGTTGACAGGGTCACTATGAGTCACACTCAGCTGGAGGGCACACATCACAACAACTCCCACACGGGACCTGCTATAGAAATGCAGCGGAAACTCATGCTGAGGACTTAAGAGTCACTGGTCAAAACTCCAGGTAAAGGAAAATGACTGACCATTTAAAACACATGATATTCACTCCTTCTGGGAAATAATTCCTTTTACTTAAAACTATTATATTTTTCTTTTTGAAATCAGAAAAGTTGAAAACACATCATATTCATTCCTTCTGGGAAATAATTCCTTTTACTTAAAACTATTATATTTTTCTTTTTGAAATCAGAAAAGTTGACCAGAATTGGAATGTTAATTATTTCACGTGAAGTCTCTCTGGCTCAGGGATAAAGTCTTGTTTTGAATGTACAAAGCTGAGTTTCACACATTTGCAAAGATATTCTTTGCTCTGTTACTATATTCTGAGCTCACAGGGCTAAGGTCAACACCAGCAGAAGATCAAAAAGTCAACAGTCACTCAAAAGTAAACATGAGAAGATAAGGGGTCAGAGAAACTCAAGTAGAGCAACAGGAACACACTGAACACTCAGCGGAAAGAGAGGGCGGGCACACTGTGAGAAATGTAATTAATGGCGCTGAATAATTTATATGGAAGTTATCAAATGGAAACTCTAACTTTCCCCAAAAACTCAATAAAATATTGTTATTTTGCAACAATGAGTTTGCAGACATTCAGGAAATCTTGCCAAAATGTGCTCTGGGCAGTAAGGAACATCTGTATTAAAAAACAAATGTTCCTTCCATGCTTGCTGAGAATGCCCTACCTAGGATCAGAGACTTCTAAGGCATGTGGGCTCCTGCTGACTACTGATTGCTATGAATAGGGATAATTAATATTTTTTAAATGGCACTGTGAATGGTGTTTAATTTCCACAGTAAAATGGGCTCCTTACTGGTGTTTCTGAATCCTATCTAGGTATGTGCTAAAGACATTTTAATAGGCTTTAATTTAGACTGAAAAAATTCTTTTTAATCATGATTTATGTTCCTTCAGACAAGCACCATTTCTGGGCTCTTCTAGGGTTATACCACTGTAAGCGACTTTATCTTAAAATAGAGGAAGGTAATGTTGGAAGCAAGTGCTATTTAGTCCTGAATAATTATACCAAGTTCCTTACAAACAGAATAGCTAGAGAAAGGCCAGCGCAGGCTGCGCTCTGTACTGTGCCCAGAAGGCTGAGTCGAGTCACTGATGGTGCAACAGGAGACACAATAAGAACATGCGGTGAATCACATGGTGGCTCTGAGGTGACCTTCTAAATGAATACCTCAGTTATTCTCCTTCTTAGAAAAGACTGACTTGTATGTAGCGCTCATTCTAGCTTCCCTGAGAAGAAAATCATTCAGCGTCTTGGCACACTCAAAGGGATTTGTTCAGACTTGGGAAAGCATCAAACAAAATTAATCTCTGAATCTCAGTGGATCCCTTTTCTCATCATGTGAGCAATGTGGTAATAAGGAATTGACAAAGCTTGGTACAGGACTTCCTGAAGGGCTTGCTGGCTGAATAAGGGAAGGTAAAAGCAGTCGGCCTGTTAATGTTTTCATTGGCATTTATAGCTGTGGCACCAAACAGTTAAAAACAGTAAAGAGAACAGCAGAGAGGCAAATTCTGAACACACACTAGATGCACTGGGAAGTTTTCAAGGTAACTCCTTGTACTACACATACTTAAGGATATGGTTGAAGTCCTGACTTGCTTTGTTGGTAAATGAAGCTTACAGGCATTTGTTACAAGGATAACTATCTTCATTCATTTTGGCCTAAATTTGTCTCATAGTCTGTCTTGTCCAGCTGCTGGTATGACTTTAAAAATCCCTCGGCTTCTGAGTTAATTCCATGCTCTCCGAGTACGTGTTTTCATGGAAACGAAGGACACTAACTAGAAATGTCCTTTCTCAAAGAAATTTATTGCTACTACAACAGAAAAGCATATAAAAGATAAACACTGAAAGTGCAGAATTTTTGGCAAACTAAAAACTGGCCAACTACTTTTTTTTTCAAGCCAAAGACTTTTCATGTTAATCAGAGGCATTTTCTAAGTATTCCATTCATTCAAGCACTTGTACAAACTGAGTCTAGCGTGGTGAGGATCCCTGATATTTAAAAGGTCAGCACATGCAGAAATAGTATATGCAATAAAACAATTTGGTCGTTCCTTGAGTAGAAATAAACTATTGGGGTGCTGGAGGCAGGGGGAAGTCAGGAATAAAGAATTTCTGAAACTTATAATTGGTATCGGAGACACTACTGGAAACTTTTCTTGTGAAAAACGGTACCAAAAAAAAAAATACCCTTTTATTGGGATGGGAAGAATATCTATGCTGAGCAGCACTCAGGGTCAAGGTCCATAAAGAACAACCTATTCTGACTGATGACGGGCTTCCTGCCTTCTCCTGTGCTAACCCTTCAAAACCAAGTCTTCTCTGTGCTGCGGCTGATAGCATATTGCTCAGTCTCTGTTGATCCAGCCTCACTCAACTGCTTTCATAAACAAGACATGGATGAAGTTCCAGCAAGAATGCTTCAGGGCTCAGCACTTACGGAGACTATGAACTAGCGTTTCAGTGAAATTATCAATTCTGAGTTTGCACCATGACAGAAAAGCTCAAGTACCTTATATAAAATTCATCAACAAACTGAGACTAATTTACCATTCAGCTCGATAATTAATGAGCTGTAACACTCATTTCCTGCCACACATTAGCTGTTGCCTCCATCTTATATATTAATTGGGCTTTCTTTCCTCTCCTGTTACTCAAGTATTAATAAACTTTGTAAACTTTCCTTTTTAAAAAACAAAGGCCAAGAGACAATGGAAACAATTTCCTACATTATGATGATGACAACAGCAGTAGCAGCAACTATAATCATAGTTGTTGTTGTTATGTGCCGTTGAGTTGCCTGTTACTCATAGTGATCCTATGTACAACAGTCCTAAAACCTGTTCTATCTTGTGCCAATCTTATTGTCTCTGACACACTTATCTCCATAATTCCAGTCACTGAGTCAATCTGTCATAGAGGGTCTTCCACTCCTGCGCTGTTCTTCCACCCTCCCAAGCATGATGTCCCTCTCCAAAGACTGGTTCCTCCTCGCAACCTATCCAAAGTATGTCAGATGAAGCTTCAGAATCCTTGCCTCCAAGGAGCAGTCTTATTTAAGCCTGCCCAAGATGAACTTGTTAGTTCTCTTAGCAGTCCATGTTATATTCAATACTCTTTTCTAGCACCAAAGCTGAAAGGCATCAATTCTCCTGTCATCCCTAGTCATTGTCCAGCTCTCTGATGCAAGTGATTGCAAAGACCATGGCCTGGATCAGGTGCACCTTAGTCTGCAGACTGCCACTGCTGCTCTTCAGTACTCTGTAAAGGTCTCTGACAGCAGACTTTCCCAATGCAATATGTCTTTTAATTTCCTTGCTGCTGGTGCCAAGAGTGTTGATTGTGGAGCCAAGCAAAAGAAAGCTATTTACAATCTCAGTCTCTTCACCATCCATCTTGATGTTGCCAATTGGCCCATTGATGAGAATCTTCATTTTCTTGATATTGAGCTTTAATCCATATTGAAGGCTGCAGTCCTTGACCTTCAGCAGCAAGCATTTCAGGTCCTCCTCAGTTTCAGCAAGCAGGGTTGTGTCATCTGCATAATGCAGATTGTTGATGAATCTACCCCCAATCCTGATGCATATTTCTCCTCATAGAGCCCAGCCTCTTGGATAATCTGGTCTGCATATAGACTGAAAAGGTATAGAGATAGGACACATCCCTGGCATATACCCTTCCCAATTTTGAACCATGCAGTGTTCCCTTGCTCTGTTCTGATGACTGCCTCCTGGTCCAAGTATAGGTTTCTCATAAGCACAATCAAGTGTTCTGGGATTCCTATTCTTCTCAGAGTTAGCCACAGTTTGTTGTGGTCCACACAGTCAAACATCTTTGGATAGTCAATGAAACATAGATAGACATTCCTCTGGTACTCCCTGCTTTCAGCCAAGATCCATCTAACATCAGCTACAATATCCCTAGTACCATGACCCCTTCTAAACCCAGCCTGCATTTCTGGCAGTTCTCTGCTGATGTACTGTTCCAGCCATTTTTGGATAATCTTCAGTAGATTCTTGTTTGCATGTAATATTAATGATATTGTTCAATAATTTCCACACTCTGTCAGATAACCTTTCTTTGGAATGGGAACAAATATAGATCTCCTCAGTCAGTTGGCCAAATGGTTGTCCTCCAGATTTCTTGGCACAACTTGGTAAGCACATTTAGGGCAGCAACTGTTTGTTAGAATACATCAATTGGTATACAGTCAATTCCTGGGGCCTTGTTTTTTTGCTAGTTCTTTCAGAGCAGCTTGAACTTCCTCCTTCATCTCCACAGGCTCTTGTTCACACTTTGTTTCATGAAATTCTTGTGTCTGCCAATTCCTTTGGTACAATGACTCTGTATACTGTTTTCATCTTTTTTTAAATACTTCCAGGATCATTTCATATTCTGCCCAAAGCATCCTTAAGGTATTGCAATAATGATAGTAGCTAACTTTTATGGAAGGTTTGAGCAAAGGTCTTCATAAGCACGGACTCCTTTAATATTCAGACAGTATTTTCACATTTTCCTTTTTTCCCCAGAGGAAACTGGAGCTCTAGCAGCACAAAGAATTTGCCCAAGATAAGACAGCTGTTAAAAGCCATGATTGAGGCTTGATGCCAACATCTAATGACACTATTTTAAATAGGAATCTAGTATCTACAGTAGATAAAAACCATTAAAAGAATAAAACATTATTTGAACAAATTTATACAAAGACCATTTAAATCTATTTAAGTAATTCACCTTCTCTTCTTTAATTTCTCCATATAGCTCTGCTTAATGGTGAATGCTAGACTTTCCCCTTTTTTTTTATAATGCAAGAAAAGGGATATCTTGAACATCAAAAGTGGTTATGATTTACTACACAGAGCAATAATCTTTCAGTGCTTTGTTAATATGAATGCCTGGTATTACTCTATAGTGTTAGAATGATAATATGATTATCTAAAATATAATTTCTAATGATACAATGTGCAATCCACCTAAATGCCACTGTCTTTCGTTTCTCTGACACAGGCCACATAATCATCTGCACAGCATCAGTGACAGTTCCAGCTCCAAGTGTTACCATAGCAACTGCTTTTGGAAAACGGAAACCAGTATCAGTGAGCAGTGACCTGATAGTATAGTAATAATTCATCCATGTCAGAGAATCTTCTTCCTTTACAAATATGAATTAATTTTAGTATGATTTTTGCAAATTAGTTTGGCTGACACTTTCTTCAAAGTGTTCTCTTTTTTTACTAAGATATTATTTCGATCTTTAGTGACCATTTAATCTGAGAGACCCTTCGAGACCCAAGAGAAAAATCTAATCTATTGACAAAAGTAAGAGTGCATTTCTATGTTTTCAAAGACTTTTAAAATTTAATTTATAATAACAATTTTTAATTGTAACTATAAAAGCAAAATATACTGTAAAATAAGAACTGGTAAACTGATACTTATATGTTATTCTTACTTGGTAACTTTTTCCCATGGATTACATTTCAACATTAAGAAAATAAAAATCCTCAAAAGTGGACCCACCAGCAACATGACAGTAAATGATGACTTTGAAGTCACCAAGGACTTCATTTTACTTAGATGTAGCAGTCGTGAAATCAGATGACCTTACCTTATTTCATGGGGCAAATTTGCTGCAAAAGATCTCTTTAAAGTGTTAAAAAGCATAGATATCACTTTGAGAACTAAAGTGTGCCTGGGCCACTCCATGGTATTGTCAACCTCTTCATATATATCCTCAAATCAGACAATGACTGAAGAAAACTGAAGAAGAATGAAAGCCTTTGAATTATGGTATTGAGGAAGAATATTAAACAAAACATGGAATGAGTCAAGAACAAACAAATGTATCTTAGCAGAAGTACAGCCAGAAAGTTCCTTTGAACAGTGGATGGAGAGATTTCACCTTACATATTTTGGTCATGTCAATAGGAGGGATCAGCCCCTGATGAAAAAAATCATTCAAGATAAAGGGAGGACCCTTAATGAGATGAACTGACACAGTGGTTGCAGCAATGGGCTGACAATATGGAAATGGTTCTGAGGATGGTGCAGGACCCGGCAGTGTGTTGTTCTGCTGTACATGTGGTTGTTACATGTTAGAAGCAACTCGAGGTCACCTAACAACTTTTCTAACAAATCATAAGACAAGATAAATATTTAATTCGTGGAATAAACTCAGCTCTGATCATACGAGAGGCAGTTCCTCCTTTGTGTTGAGAGAATTCACATCTACATTGATCCTTCCCAGAAGAGCCTACTCTGTTAAACTCAGTCAGAATATTTAGATTAATTTTCAAAGGTTTTGTTAAAGTTTCTTACCTTTTAAGGAAGCATATATGAAAGGTTAGGAATGTCTCTTTATTATTTAACAAGAGTACTTTAAAGCTGGAATTTGGCAATCATTACTAAATAACATGAAAGAACAATTTAAGACATATTTGGGTCAAGATTTTTCTATTAATCTGGTTTGCTCCTTCTTAACTGCTTCTAGCATTTAATTCATTTCTGCATACATGATGTCTCCTAATTTAGAAAATTTATATGTCATATTAAAAAAAATCTGCAGTGGGCTGTCTACTACATTTTACAATCTTGACTCAAACTGAGCTAATAAGATTTATTTTATAGAATCAGAGATGACAAATGAACCTGAAGCCTAGAAAAGTTTGATTTGAATTATCAAATTTTCACCATAAAGAAAATAGTCACTGTTCTTAAAAAAGGTTAAGTCTCTAGGACATTATATTCAGTTCCTACTTTATTTACTTCATAAACCCCAGCTGGAGGCTCAGAAAACTGGAACTGCAGGAAGGACAAAAGTATACAGCAGCCCTACCTCCTGGTGGCGGCTTGTTTTTGGAGGTGAGGATCACAAAGCCAAAGCCTTCATTCTCTTTTCTTTGCAAGATCACGTCATAAGCCTCCTGGGGTGCAGACCTGGCCAGTGCCTCTGCTCGGTTCAGGCGGGGAGATCCATTCTGTGTTGCAATGAAGGCTTGAGAGCTGTCATCCTCAGACTGTTTCTCTAAAATAAACATAGTCAGTTTTGATACTTATGAATATCATAATTTTTGATCAAGTATAGTGCTTTTGGACTAAGGTTTTCATGATAAAACCTAGTGTCCAGTAACATAAGGAGTAGAAAAGCAACCCCCCGCCCTGACTTTGTAAAGTGCTGGCTCCAAGCTGAGTGCAGATGCAGTAGTGGATCCTTCTTAAATCTGCTTCTAGGTCAAAGTTGGCAATATGCATATGATCTAACGTTATCTCACAGGAAGGTTTTCATAGTTCTCATGAGATCTAATAATAAAAAATTCTTGATATTATTTTAGTTTCACCAAAGTTTTTAATCGCGACCAGTAATTTTAACCAAAGTAGACATAGAGAACAGACAGAGTAAACATCTTTTAAAAATACAATTCACATGTAAAGTGGGGCAGGTTTTGATGTGCACTACCACCTGGGAGTTCATGGCATCAGGGCACACATGCTGTGCTGCTGTAACACGGGTGCAGTGTCTCTCCTACTTAGACTTTGCCTGAAACACTGCATTTTTGCAGTTAGTTTTCTGACTGATAATATCAGAAGAGCTGATCATTAGCAGTCCTCAACCTTCTTCTCTGCTAGGATACCAACAAGCTGTCTATATGAGCAGCAAAATCTCCTGGGTACAGATGGGGTCATATAGAATACACAGCAAGTGGGTAGTTAACCTACATCTTTTTTGTCCTGTTTAAGAATGACATCAGAAGTTGAGGAAGACTGAGCCTGGTAGCATAGGCCGCAGGGGGTTGTGTGTTAAGCTAATGGCAGCACTTTCCTAGTGGTCTGAACGCACTCGCTCCTCTGAGGGAGAAACCCGGGCAATCTCTTCCAACTCATTTACAATCTCCCAAAAGTCCACTGGAGGTGGGTCAGCTACAGCTTGGTTCCAACAGCAAGGACTTTGAGTTTTTGACATAAAGTAGTTATAATTTCTTGGCAGGAAAAAATGTAGACTTTGTGCCTTAATTTGCTACAGGGCATCATCAGTAACAACAAAAACATAGTGCAGTCAAGGAGCATGCATTTATAAGGTCTCTTCTGGCACATAATATTTTAATAAATGCCACCAACATCAAGAAAAAAATGACTCCTCATATGCGTGAATCATACCACCATAGAAGATCTTTCTTCTGACGGTCAGCAGTACATGGCCATTCCGAGCAGCAGTCGTCATTAGATCCAAAACTTGTTTGTGTGATTTCCCTTTAACAGGAATGCCATCAATGCACATGAGTTCATCAGCAGCACGGAGCCGGCCGTCTTTCTCAGCTGCACCCAGAGGAATGATAGCCCCAATATATATCTAATAAGATAAGACAATGTAAGTGAGTCTACATGATCCAACAAGATCAGTGGAGAGGTAAGACTGGCTGGCTCTGAGCACTGTGCACATTAACAGTTTTATTGCTGCCCAACTACGAAAACAGTCGGATTATAGAAAAGTGGTACCTTGGAAAGTTATTATACTTCAAAATTACACTTCAAATAGCCACTATCCTGTCATCTCTTCTGGTTTCTCAAAGCTAAGTACAAGGAAGCCAGACAATGCAGAACTGGCTAGGAATTGAAAAAGCTCCACCATCATTACTACCACCACCAAACAAAATCTTGGAAAACACAATTTTGGAGAGTAGCTACTAAGTCTGTTTAATGTCATCAGAACAGATTTCTCACAAACTGTTCATTGCAATTGGGATGATTCCTGCCATACTCTCACTGCACGTGGTGAGCAGTGCAAGTTCAGCAAACACAACAGAAAAACAATTCTTGTTCTACACTGTAAGGCAGTAAATAATTTAAGAGAGCAGAGTGGCCTCATTTACCTGCACACAAGTGAACAAATCTAGTAGTTCTGTTCAGATGCAATTTGAATTGTTAATGAGGAAGTCTAGAATGTTTGGGCAAGCTTTAGGGATGCTAAAACTTGACATTTAAGAAATGAACAGAGTTTTTCCCCAGGCTATGAGCAAAAGTCTTAAAATGTCTAAGTGACCCCTATAAATATCCACACAATAAGAAACAAAAAAGGTTAAAAAAAAAACAAACAAACCCCAAACCCACAACAAAACAACCCATCCAAGGGTTGGGGTAAGAATGATAAAAACTGGATAAATTATGTATACTGCATTGAAATCGATGAGGGAGAGAACAGTTTAAAAGCAATATATTGTAGGGTATTATGATTATCATAAGAGTCCAGAATGAAGGTTAAAGAATGGAGTATACTTGGAGTGGGGGTGGGGGTGGAGGGGTGGAATTGTATACCAATGAAGGAATTTTTCTTTTACTTTTCAAAGAGAAGGGCGAACTGGGGGTGGGCGGGGAGAAAAGTGCAACAATGAATGAATGGAAATCCAAAATCTCTGTAAATGTTCATTAAAATTAATAATAAAAAAATTTAAAAAAAATTAAAAAAACCCCAAACTCATCAAGAACTATCTTACACCTGCCCTGTATAGGAAGATGTGTCTTAAGGGTTACTTGTCTTGGATGGATGATTGTTACAATTACAGTCGATATGACGAATCAGGCCTGAGCTATACGTAACCAAAGATCTATGAAGGCAGAGTCCATAGGGAGCTGCCTAGAGGTCACACTGCTGTCATTCAAATCCACCAGAGGTTTTGCAAGTTACAGCCTCAGAAACCAAATGAAGGGTCAGCTATGAATCAGATCTGAGTTGATGACAATGAATGTTTTAGGTGTTTGGGTTGTTTTTTTTTGGTTTAGATCAAACCAGAAAAATCAAACCCATTATTGCTGGGTCGATTTTGCCCCATAGTACTAAGACTGCATTAGATTCCTCAGACTGTAAATCTTTATGGGAGGGAACTGTCGATCTTCCTTCTCAGGAGCAACTGATAGATTTGAACCACTGACCTTCATACAGGGCAACACATAATCCAGCAGAATTATCTTTCTCTATATATTACATAAATTAAATGTGCTACTCTGAAATAGACAACTGTAATTCTTTTTCCAAAGGATTTTGATATTCACTGAATTTCTAAGCTGCCAATAATGTAAAAGAGAAAATAATTTTAATGAAACAAAACAAAATAATTGCCATATCTCACCAACGGTTCACTCAAAAGTTTTAGCAGGGATAGTTAAACTTCAAAGGGTGTAAACTTACAGACTGGTCAGGTCCATCTCCTCCTAGGACTCTGAAGCCAAACCCTGATTCCTGTTTCCGAAGAAAAACATCCAAATCTTTGGTGTTTGGTGCTAAGTAAAATCAGAAAACAGAAAATAAATACTCTGATTTACTTTAAGGAAATTGAGACAAAAATACAATACAGAATAGGGTAATACAGGATAGTAATAAATTGTAATCTCAGAATTCTTTACCATGTGAAAACACTAGAGATCAATGCCACCAAAAAGCCCCAACCACCCCTGATTCTCACTTTGCACCCTGAACAAACTTCCTACCAAAAATGCTCAGGATAATTCCTTCTACTTCCATGCCCTCAGTATTAAGCTGTCATAAACTTCTAATGCTTGGCCAATATTACAACATCACTCAATTTAAGATTTTGTCAACATAAGTGATTTAAACTAACATCTCAGCAAGGCACTTTAAATCCCAAGGTAAGAAAGGCCACATTTCTTTTTGTGTTTTCTACTCTTAAACTAATACCTTGGTCTCAAAAAAGCATTTCCTTTGAAATGCTTATTTGGCCTAACTTTATAAGATTATTATTACTAAAAGGACATAAAAAGTCCACTATCATCTATCATCAGCATCATTCTGTAGCCAAGGAAACTGGTCTTAAGTAACTTGGCCAAAGGCACACAGTTGAGACTTGAACCCAGGTTTATATCTAGGACTTGGCTCCTGATCCACACTCTCCTGCTGCTGAAAGGCAGACTATAACTACGAGAATATTAAGTCAGAAAATTTATCTCGTGACAAAAATTTCATCTCTACAGATAAGTTTTTGTTACCTGTAAGTAGAATTTATTTCATGGGAAATATTAGAAACATGTAGACTATGTAAAAATAAGGGAGATACCATATAGGGCAAATTCCTGATAAAGTTCTTTGGAGTGATTTCTTTTAATAAATGCTTTTGATTAGACTCACAGAACTTTAGGAAAAAAAGCACTCATCAATGCAAATCATGCAATTTCTGAGTGAGGCCAAAAAGGAGCTACATAGTTTACACTAAGAATGTGTTAGGCCAAGGCATGGGAAGTCTGAAGAAAGCAATTCTCCATTGTTGTTGTTAGGTGCTGTCAAGTTGAGTATGACTTATAGCAACCTTATGAACAAAAGATCTGAAACGTGTTCTATCCTGTGCCATCTTCACACTTCCTTACACACAAGAGCCCTTAAGTTATACTACTTTAAAGCACTATTTTGTCATGCTTATGTTTTGTTTTCATTTTAGAAATAAGCCCTTGCAATATCAAGATAAAGGCAACTAGTTAAATTAGCCCAGTCATTTATATGCATTTTCATATGCATACATCTTTTCTAAAGTAAAATTAAGACCTACTTCTTAAACAGAATGAACATTTATTAAATAACTTCATTTTGGAATATATTTATCATTAGTAAATGAACTAGTAAAAAAATTCCCGTCTTATACCATCTCCTCATCTCTCAGCTGGGTTCCTCTAAAGTATTTACTCTTCGGCATCCTTATCTCTAACTGCATACCCCTCTAATAGATCCTCCATGCTTCTGCCAGGAGAATTTCTGTAATGCACAAGTCCAATAATATTTTCCCAAAAGGTAAAACCACTTAGTGGTTTGCCATAATTTATCTGACCAACTCTAGTTTCCTCTGATTGCCCTTAATCAATCTCTTAGAATCTGCTTCTGTTCTCCTCTCTCGCTTTTTTGCAAACATATCCAGTCAAAATAAACTGCTCGTGGAATTCAGGCCATACAAAGTCAACACACAAATGCTACTGCCTCCTTGTTTCCCTGCTGTCTTCCTCAGGAAGACCTGTTCATCTTTAGAGACTTGGTCAAGTCTTTATGTCCTATATAAAGTCTTACCTGAAATTTTTTATTACCTATATTTCTTACTTTGGATCCCAATTTAGTCAGTCCATTTTTCTATCACTGCATCTATTAAGCTAATTTGCATTTTTGTATACATACTTGATTACATAATCATCTTTTCTATATATCTTTAATAAATATTTTTAGATGAAGGACCAATACATACACACATTTTTTTATTCATTTATGAATATTCCAACTACTTAATATGGGACTAGTATATCGTTGGTACTTAACATACATTTCTGAAAAAAAAAAAATTAAAGTTGAATATAAATGGAAGAAGCCCAGAGATCTATTGAAATGTAAATGAAGGAATACTTTTTTCAATGTGGTTTTGAAAGATGAGGTCTCAGTTTAAAAAGCAATGTAAATTTATCATGCTACATGCTCTCCTAAAATATCCCACAACTACTTACGTTTATCTTCATATAAAGTCTTAGATTTCAGGTAGACCTCAGAAGGATCCAATTTTGGGGATCCTGACCTGATTATGCTGGGTGGAAATGGCATAGGCTGGGGAATGGGCTCATTTATGGCCTCCAAACTTCCTGAATTTTCCTTTTTATCTGTTTTCTGCAATGGAAAAGAGGCTACTTAGTATTTTGAAAAATCAGCTGTTTGATTAGTTCAGAGAACTATTGTCTGAGCCAGGCGTGCTAACTGAACAGATGGTGGGTTCAAACTGTCAACTGGTTAGGAGCCGTGTACTTACCCACTGAATCACTAAGTCTTCTTTTAGACTACTTGCTTACTCATAAAAAAGATAGTCAGAAGTATCAAAGAAGGTACTGTCTCAGCTTTGAAAGCCTACCGCTCTTATAACACTCAACACAAGTACAGAAGGTCACAATTACTCTAGAAATTCTAGGGTCTTAGATGTAAGCAGGTTATCTAAATGCAAATATTCACAGTTCCCATGAAATCATGTGAAGCTGTTATGTCTTTCTCTGAGCATGAGTTCATCTTCTGCCCTAACTTGTGTTGCCCTACGGTTTTCGGGAGAAGCATTCCTTAATTTTGTACCCTTATGTGTCTGAATCACAGAGAAAGCAAAGGGACCCTCTGTACTTAAATATTTAGGAGGTAGGATTGTATGGGCCTCTTGGATTTCTTTAGCAGAAATTGTTACCAATGAGAGCACATACCTCCCCCAGGGGCATTTTCTAACTTATATATACACTCTCTTGGAGCTACTCATACAAGCCCAGGGGTATCTCCTGATCTCTCCATCAATAATCACCACGAGGATTGTTCTGACACAGGGGAACATGACATCTCTCTTGGGTTATGGGAAGAACAGCTGTATACTCACCATTTTGGTAGTTTTAGTTGGTGAAGGAGGACCTTTAAAAAAATGAGTCAAGTTTTAGAAACAGAAAACAATCCCAGATCACACATCACTTCTTATGTTTATGAGGAAACTAGATTTAGCTTTTAGTTAACTGGTAAACTATATATCCAACACCTCCTATGTGCATCACACATTTAATTCATATGATAATCCTAAAGTATAAATGTTATTTCCATTTTATACTGTAAACTAAGGCTCAAATAGATTTAATTTGACTTCCTTGCACCAGAGAATCAATACGTGGCAGGGCAGAAAATAGCTATATTAAATCTTTCTGCCATCAAACCCCAGCCTTTTTGTTGTGTTGTTAGAGTCTTGCGTAACTCTACAGCATGTACACAGATTTGCACCTTTCTCTGAGCAGTCTCTTGTATCACCACCCAGAGAAGAACTACAATGGTCAAAGAAGGCAGTGAGCAGAGGAAAAAGTCTCTAATGAAGGTAAGTGCTCATTTGCCTCAGAAATGAACAATAACGTTAGAAAGTTAGAAACGACAGGCTAAATTTCATTCTTTCAAGTAGACAACACTAGTAGCAATGGATATAAGAAAGTCTATTAAAAGGCAATTTTGCAGTTAGTCTTTGGGACTGGATTTATACTATTTTAGAGTAGTAGTTTGAATCAGCTGATGACCTTGGAAATAAGAATTCTATTTCCCTCACATGTGAACTGTGGGGCACAATTAACATTTACAAGTAGATAGTAGAGCTTACAATAAAAAAAGTTTCATAAGTACAAGCTGTTATGATTGCTTCTGCAGAACAGATTAACACACCATCCAATCATTTAAATATTCACAGAAATCTCTGCTCTTTGAAACTCCTTGACCCCTTCAGAGGAGTATAGAGGTCCAGATGAACAAACACCACTGGCAAGGTGAAAGAGTCAATTTCTATTATTTTCATCAAGTGGAGAAAAGGAAATGATTTCATTTGAAATAGTACATTGGTGTGACTCTCCCTGGTCATTAAGGATATATATTTTTACATAGAATACAGAGAGAGGGAAATCCACAATGGATACAAAGAACTACTACTAAATGGAAGAAAACAAAAAGTTCTAAAAATGGCACTGATTATGGAAGCAATCAGACAGAACCTAAGAAAAATGCACACCAATTACCAGCTGCACCTGGGGGAGTGGCACTCCGACCTGTAAGGAATGATAATTAGTAGATATAAATGCAGGAACACTGTAGACTCTTCCTTGCTGTGTTTTAACTCACCTCCTCTAAAGATAAGCAAAGGCACATCTGCACCTACTGGAAACTGCTTTAGCACTTCTACCACCTGGAGATGTGTTAGATTCTGTACATTTTGATGGTAAATCTCCTTAATTATATCACCTTTCTGAAGGCCTTGACACCACTGGCTATCCAGTATCATTTTCACCTTCTGCCCAGTTGGGCTATCAGCAATTGCAAACCCGAAGCCTTTAGGGCCTTTAATGAGAGGAATAGTCACTAGTTCAGGCTGGGAGCTGCCTGATGATGCCATGGATGCTCTCTGTTCACTGAGATCTGATGGTCCATTGAGACGATCACTGGCCAGGGTGTGTCCCGATTTTCCATTCTGCTCCAGAACCACCGCTCCTGGCTTAAAATCCTGAGTATTCATGCAAGTCTCTCCCTTAGTTAATGACTGTCCATTGATGACAGGGGTAGCAGCAACAATGTCCACAACGGGATCTTCATTGTCATCAGGCAGTGGATAACCACGACATAAAGTGAGGTTTACATACTGATTGACAGGTACCAACTGAAACATCTGGACAACATCTGCATGAGTGTGACCAAGGACACAGTTGCCATTGATGTCTACAATAACATCACCTGGTGAAACATAATCATGTTACAAAAGAATTTGAATTCCTAAATAAGTTCATTCCAAATTTAATTCTTTGGGAAGGGGAGGCAAATGTAATTTAGCACCTAAATTTGAATGCTGGAACTTTCTTGCTGTGGACTTAACTGTTGGAATAAAGAGACTTCCAGCACACACATGCCTTTCTTTCTTTTACTATTCCATTCCAAAAGGCATATGCAAATTTCTAAAAATCATTATTTTAGAAGTAAAGAGTATGACCTCAAGCTCAAGCAAATCTTTAAAATAATAAAAATAGAAGCCCTGTAAACTCATTTTAAGTCAGACCTAAGTGGTTACACAATGGTGGGTACACTGTGATAATTATTTAATATGCAGAAGAGAAGCTAATTACTGCAAAGGCTATTTTGCCCAGTCTATCTTTAAATGCTACCTTATTTCTTGACTTTAAGAAACCAGTGGTTAAAATGTACTTCAAGTCCCATTTTTTTTTCTCAGAAATGTAGAGTTTAGCACTAGAATTTTCTCTTATGAATATTTTGTAAAGATCTTGAATCTATTTCAAATCAGACTTCTAAAGGACAAACAAGCAAAAACAAAACAACATAAGCAAAGGGCAATTATTTAAGACAAAAATGTCAGCTAAAGTTATTCTTATAAAAGGTGGTTTTGTTTTTCCGTTTTTATGTTGTTATAACCATTTTAGCTCAAGATTTATTACCACTTGACATTCATCAATTGGGTATGCTTTGTTTTTGTTTTTTTAAACGCAGCTTTGGCTTAAAATTTGTCCTTTGTTGTCTCATTCATTTACAGTTTTTATTTGAATATGATTATTTAAAAGGTTATTTCCAAGTAAAGGTGCTTTAATTTGTCCTAATTAAATTTAGCCTTTTAGAAAATCAGCATACATAGTACTATGAACAGATGCTAGTCTGTGGAAATTTATTTCATAATCTTAAATGATAGGGAAGTCAGAATATTTAGAAATAATTTTTTACTTTCTTTCTCTGGAAAAATCTCCCAGACCTTTTATGAAATGTTTGTAATAGTATACAAAGTAGGCTACAATTGTTTAGACAAGTTTGAATCAGTACTATAAAATCTTGAGAGCATATAGAATGGATAAGAGATATGTTTCACAGACAAAATGTTAAAAAGATAAGGTGAAAACATAAAAAAATCTTAGGAAAAATCTTTATCTCTAGAATTTGTAAATTATACAAAAATCCTAAAAACACTAACCAAGTCCGCTGCCATAGCCTTCTGACCCACAGCGATCCTCCACCAGGTTTCTGAGTCTGTAAATCTTTACAGCAGGAGACGGCCTCATCTTTCTCCTACAAAGCAGCTGGTGGATCCCAAACACTGATCTTTCTTTTAGTAGTAGCCTAGGCATACAATGCACTAAACTACCAGAACTTCTTATAAAGAAATAGAAAAGAGCTAAAAAGTAATTTTGCTTATAAATATAACTTTCAATTATTTTAGCTTTTCTTGCTTTAAGTTTCTATTACCTTGATGGAAAAGCATAATATAAATATGATCCTTACAACCTAATTGATAATGACCTGGTATCTGTCCAAAAAAAAGTATAGCAATAACATCCAAACTGAGGCTATATGTACATGGTATGTGAAATAACAAGTTTAGAAAAGTCTAGTAAAAACTCTAAGTAACTTCAATGTACTAGTAAAGTTTAAAGGGAAAAAGTGTTGAACTTCTTCTGATCTCCTCAGTTACAAACACTGTCAGCCATACTAAAATATCTAACATTTACAAAAGAAAGACTTCAGCAAAACTATGGAAGAGGCAACTTAAGTTTACACAATTCTGTAAAAATAATACTACTACTCTGTAATTCTTAACCCAGAAGTTCAATTTTAGTCTGTAAGACTAAGGAAAATTTGAGTAAAATTGCTGGATATAGCAATGTGTTTGATATTACTATAATCATCTGAATGGATCATTTTTTAAAGAAAACGATAGGTAAATGTTAGATTGTTCAATTGCTCTTTCCAGTTTCTATAATTTAGTCTCACCTATGTAAATTAAATTACACAAACTTCTTACCATTTAAATTTCTATGATAATGTCATCATTATTTAAGTAATTCTGGGGGGGGGGGAAACTTCCCAAAAAACACTAACACAGTTTAAAAAAAAATATTACCTGGTGCAATTTTCCCATCCTGAGCAGCAGGACCATCTTTTAGCACATTTTTCACCTGCAGGAACTCATCAGGCCTGTCTCCACCAATAATGGTAAAACCAAACCCCATTGTGCTTTTTTTCAGTGATGCTCGAACAAGGGCACCTTTAAGCTGAGACGGGTCTCGGGTAAAGTGAGATTTTTCTACATCTGTGCCAAAATGAAAAATGGGTTTTAGAACAAAAGTTATCACAATGAATGTATTCCTGGAGGCCAATCTTCAAGACAATCTCTAGAACTTAAATCTAATAGACGATAAAACAAACAAAAGACACTAACGTTGAAGAGTTAGAATTTACAATCCTAAACTAAGTCATCAACCCTATCTGCAAAACAAAATGTAGCCAAGTTCAACTAGTGAATAATGTTTATTTTATAGAATCCTGTTATTTGAGGAATTTGGCATCAGGATTGGTGGGAGGCTCATTAATATACTGCAGCTTGTAATATGCTGAAATTGAAAAGGACTTGAAGTACATACTGATAAAGATTAGACTACAGTTGTCAATTTTGATTACATCTTAACATAAGGAGAATTAAAATCTTTACAACTGGACCAATAAGTAAGGTCATGATTAAAAAAAAAAAGACTGACATTGTTAAGGATTTCGCTTTATTTGAATTCACTATTAATGCCCACAGAAGCAGCAGCCAAGAAATCAATGTATTGCATTGGGAAAACTGCCACAAATGACCTCTTCACAGTGTTCAAAAGCAAAGATGTCACTTTGAGAGGACTTCTGTGTGCCACACCCCAGCCATGGGGTTTTCAGTTGCTTCATATGCATGTGAAAGCTGGATCAAGAAAGCTGGATAGAAGTCAATTGATGCCTTTGAGTTGATGATGCAGAGTACAGACCATAATATGGACTGCCCGCCAAAAGAACAAACAAATCTGTCTGGGAAGTACAGCCAGAAATGAAGATGGTGAGACATCATCTCACATGCTTTGGGCGTGTTATTAGGAGAGGCACGGTATGTTTGATAAAGTTGAAGATCAACAAAAAAGAGGACAAGGACACCTTTAGGATGAGAAGGATCTCGAGTAATGTATGGTTGTTTTCCACCTCTGTGCCAACATGAAAAATGAGCTTGAGAACAAATGCTATTACAATGAATAGAGTCCTCAAAGCCAATCTTCAAGATAGTCTATGTGACTTAATTCTAATACATCATAAAGGAAACAAAATGAGAACAACTCTAACAAGGAGATGGACTGACACAGTAGTTGTGAGGACGGCACAGGACTCGACAATGGTTCATTCTAACGCGCGGAGGCTTGCTGGGAATATGTGCGGATTCAGCAGCACTTAAAAATAACAGCATGCCAGAACAAACAAATGTGTCTCGGGAGAAATAATACCAGAGTGATCCTTAGAAATGAGGACGGTGAGACTTTGCCATACGTGCTTTGGCCATGTCAAAAGAGGGACCAGTGCCTGGAGAAGAACATTATGCTTAGTAAGGTCAGCAAAAAAGAGGAAGACTCACAATGACATGGACTGCTACGAGATCTGCAACAATGGCCTCAGATACAGACAATGATTAATGCAAACTTGGAAAATGTTTTCTTCTAACACACACAGGGTTGCTGTCAGTCAGATGACTCAACCACTAACAGTAACAGTGTTAACTGCAAGAAAAAGGCAATTTCTTACATATCCTCTGCATTGTTCTGTTTAAACTTTCTTTCATCCCTAAAGTGTTCACTACAGAAAATTAAAATGATGCACTCAAAGAACACCTTTATTACCAAATTCCTCCAACTCTTGGAAATGTATACGTTTATTCAGTTATAGATTAAGTTTGGATCAGCATCAATAAACTCTTTCATGGAAGATAAAGGTTTATAAAGTTATAAAGGAGGTTGCTGTTGTCATAGCGACCCCAGGCACAACAGCTCTGAACCCTGCTCTATCCTGAGCCAATCTCACTGTCTCTGATAAACCTACCTTTATTACCTTACTGTGCCCATCCATCTCATCTGGGGTCTTCCTCTCCTGTGCTGTCCCTAGACCCTTCCAAGTACAATATCCTTATGAGGGAATTTTATACTAATTCAGACTATTGTGTATCCATGAAGAGGAGAGCCTGAGTAAGCATTTGAATAAGCACCAATAGCTTAAAAACTATTGAAGCTTATTCAGCTTTTTTGCAACAGGTTTGTTGCCAGAGTACAGGTGTTGGTGAATACCATTACAAAACCTAAGCCAAAATGGGAAAGGAGAAGACCCATATCAACATTGTCATCACTGGACACGTAGATTCGGGAAAGTCCACCACAACTTGATCTACAAATGTGGTGGGATGGACAAGAGAACCTTTGAGAGATTCGAAAAGGAAGCTGCGGAGATGGGAAAGGGTTCCTTTAAATATGCCTGGGTCTTGGATAAACTGAAAGTTGAACGTGAGTGTGGCATCACCATTGATAATCTCCTGGTGGAAATTTGAAACCAGCAAGTACTATGTGACCATCATTGATGGCTGAGGACACAGAGACTTTATAAAAAACATGATTACAGGAACATCACAGGCTGATTGTGCTGTCCTGATTGTTGCTGCTGGTGTTGGTGAATGTGAGGCTGGTATTTCAAAGAATGGGCAGACCCGTGAGCATGCCCTTCTGGCTTACACACTGGGTGTGATGCAACCGATCGTTGGTGTTAAAAAAATGGATTCCACCAAGCCACTCTACAGCCAGAAGAGATATGAGGAAATCATTAAGGAAGTTAGCACCTACATCAAGAAAATGGGCTACAACCCTGACACAGCAGCCTTTGTGCCAATTTCTGGTTGGAATGGTGACAACATGCTGGAGCCAAGTGCTAACATGCCTTGGTTCAAGGGATGGAAAGTCACCCGGAAGGATGGCAATGCCAGTGGGACTACACTGCTTGAAGCTTTGGACTGCATCCTGCCACCAGCTCGCCCAACTGATAAGCCCCTGTGTCTGCCTTTCTAGGCTGTCTACAAAATGGTGGTACTGGTACTGTCCCTGTGGGCAGAGTGGAGACTGGTGGTCTCAGGCCTGGCATGGTGGTCATATTTGCCCCAGTTAATGTAACCACTGAAGAAAGTCTGTTGAAATGCACCATGAAGCTTTGAGTGAAGCTCTGCCTGGTGAGAATGTTGGCTTCAATGTTAAGAACGTCTCTGTGAAAGATGTCTGACGTAGCAACGTGGTTGGTGACAGAAAAAATGAGCCACCCATGGAAGCAGCTGGCTTCACTGCTCCGGTGATCATCTTAAATCATCCTGGCCAAATCAATGCTAGTTATGCACCTGTGCTGGATTGTCTCCCAGCTCACACTGCTGCAAGTTTGCTGAGCTCAAGAGAAGATCTATTTTTGCTGTTCTGGTAAGAAGTTGGAAGATGGCCCCAAATTCCTCAAGTCTGGTTATGTTGCCATTGTTGATATGGTTCCTGGCAAACCCATGTGTGTGGAGAGCTTCTCTGACTACCCTCCTCTGGGTCATTTTGCTGGGGGTGTCATCAAAGCAATAGACAAGAAGGCTGCTGGAGCTGGCAAGGTCATCAAGCCTGCTCAGAAAGCTAAATGAATATTATCCACAGCATCTGCCACCTCAGCCTTCATCAGTGGTGGAAGAACAGTCTCAGAACTGTTTGTCTCAACTGGCCATTTAAGTTTAATAGTAAAAGACTGGTTAATGATCACAATGCATCGTAAAACCTTCAGAAGGAAAGGAATGCTCTGTGGACCATCTGTCTTCTTGTTCTTGTGGCAGTTTTAAGTTATTAGTTTTTAAAATCACTACTTTTAAAATGGAAATAACTTGACCAAAAATTTGACACAGAATTTTGAGGTCCCTTAAAACAAGTTTACTGAGGAAAAAACCCTCCAAAACAAACAAAAAAACCTATTGATGCTTATTAAAATGAAATTTTATATGGGCCAACTGGCAATACTACGATAGATGGAGAAGAGATTGATGTTGTTAACAATTTTAGCTTGCTTGTTTCCACAATCAACACTCTTGGCACCAGCAGTCAGGAAATCAAAAGAAAAACTGTACTGGGGAAGTCTGCTGTTAGAGATCTCTCCAAAGTGCTAAAGAGTAATGATGTCAGTCTTGAGACTAAAGTGTGCCTGATCCAGGCCATGTTCTTCACAACTACTTGCTATGCATCAGAGGGCTGGACAATGACTAAGGATGACAGAGGAAGAACTGATGCCTTTGAGTTGTGGTGCTGGAGAAAAATTCTTGAACATACCATGGACCACCAAGTGAACAAACAGATCTGTCTTGGAGAGAATGGAAACAAGTTTCTCCTTGGAGGCAAGGATTTGAATCATATTCAGGAGGGTGGAGGGACAGCACAGGAGAGGAAGACTCCAGGTGACATAGATTGATACAGTAACTGGGGTAATGAGGGTAGGTGTGTTGAAGTCAGCGACACTGGCTCAAGACAGGGCAGGTTTCAGAGATGCTGTACATAGGGTCACTATGAGTCACAGGCAACTCGATGGCACATAACAACAATAATATTGTATCCTCTATAATTTAGGGGCTTCAGTGGCATAGTGCATAGTCTGTTGCACTGCTAACCAAAAGGTTGGAAGCTTGAATCCCACCGCTACCCCAAGGGAGAAAGTGGGGTAACCTTATTGAAATTTCCACCCTCAGGTATGTGATAGAAGGTTGCTATGAGTTGGAATCAACTCAAGAGAAGTAAGTTTGTTATAGTTGCTGTTTGTTAGGTGCTGTCGAGTTGAGTACTACCCACAGAGACCCTATGAACCACAGATTTTGACCCTGTCCTATTCTGTGCCATCCTCACTCCTCCTGACACACTACAGCCCACTGCAGCAGTCACCATGTCAATTCACCTGGTCAAGGGTCTTGCTCTTCTTCGCTGACCCTTCACTCTTCCAAGCACCATGCCCCTCTCCAAGGAATAGCCTCTCTTAGCAACATATGAGAAATAGGATGCCTCATCATTCTTGCCTCCAAAGAGCACACCAATTGCACCCTCTTGTCTTTCTGGCCATGCATGGGATGTTCAGTACTCTAATATCAAAGGTCAAAGGCATCAATTCTTCTGTCATCCTTATTCATTGTCCAGCTCTCAGATACATAGCAAGTGAATGGAAAAACCATGGCTTGAATCAGGTACACTTTAGTCTTCA